TCATTTTCAGCGCACAATGGCCACCAACATCTTTGGATACCAATCAGTTGGACTATTGTGTCTGGAGTATTTTGGAAAGCAAGGTTGGCACTAAAAAATACCAAAGTGTCGATCACTTCAAGTAAGCGCTGTTCACTCAAAATTTGAATTTCTCACCCCAAATAATTACCCTAAAATTTATTACGTCTTGATCAGCCCTCTATTACTTCAAATAAAAAATTTGTCCGCAATATTTTTTTTTTATACTAAACTAATTTTATTATTGAATTTGTTGTCTGTATTGTGTAAAATTAAAGCGAAAACACCATTTTATTTCAGCATATTTATCTTGTTTTTATACAAACTTAATATTTGTTTTTTTCCAAAAAATATTGACCAAAAAGCACTTGTCATATTCAGCTCATTTACAAAATATTAAATTATTGTCATGTATATTCTATGGTTTTTTTTATTTGTAAATTTTCAAAACAAGTATTTCTAAACTGAAAATAATCATAGTAAGAAGTAATAATAATAGTTAAAATGGAAATAAATCCCTTTGGGTTTTATGGTTTGTTAAGCTATTTGTTTTTAATAAAAAAAAATATATGGTGTGCGTCTGTAATGTCCTTGGCTTCGAAAAATATATTTTATATTTCTTAAAAAACTAAATCGATTTTATAAATACTAAATATATACTAAGTATGTACTTTTAAGTAAAATTTTTGGCATTTAGGTGTGGGTGTGTGTGTGTGTTGAATCTTAGTTTTGTTATGTGTGGTCCAATGAAGTTTTAAAATATCAATAATTCCAAACCAAAATGGAAATAGTTTGGATTTTGGATGTCGATTTAGTGATGTCCATCCGTCTTCGGAAATCACTCTAGTCCGAACGAAATTTAATAGGTAGATAAAATTTTACTCAGATGTGTGTTAGGAATGCAGGATTTTTAGTATTGAAGATGGGCTTTATAGGTCGTCGTTTTGGTATAACCCCCATATAACAGCACCGACAAATTTAAGGTTTTTCGGGTGTTTTGCTACAATTTTAAACCAAATGTCCTGTAAATTGGCAGTATGTTGTGTAAGAAATTTCCTTGCATAGAACTGTCAATAAAGGTCTAAGGTTTGGTATAGCCCCAATATAGCTGTTCCTCCAGATATTCGGTATTTTGATGATTTGTGTCGCACTTTTCACCAGAAATGTTTCAAATCTGGAATTTGATTTTTCGAATGGGTACTACAGCCTATGACAGAAAATTGCACAAGCAGGTCCATGTCTTGTATAGCCCCCATATACCTGTACCTGCTTATATTCGGTAATTTGATGATATTAGCATGATTTTTCAACGCAAACAAGTAAAAAGGAAGCTAAGTTCGGCCAGGTCGAACTTTTTATACCCACCACCATTTGTTAAAAAAACTTAAAAAAAACCCGTAGAAAAATGCTGCTCAAATGAAAACCGTTTTGGGGGCTATACGAGGACGTGGTCCTGTGGTTCCGTACTTTATATTCGAAATTTAAAAAAAAAAATCCGGTGAATAATGTCGCAAAAATCATGAAAATACCGAGCATCTGGTTATGTGGCGCTATACTAAAACATGGACCTATTTAGACAATTTTCTTCTAGGGGGAAACGTACTTACACATAACGGCACCGTTATGTGGCGCTATACTAAAACATGGACCTATTTAGACAATTTTCTTCTAGGGGGAAACGTACTTAGAAGGAAAACCCTTGTCTGGATTTTAAGACTATTCCCTTAAAAAATGTGGCAAAAATCATCGAAATACCGAATATCGGGAGGAACCGTTATACAGGTGTTATATGATATCGTGGACCTATATATAGACAATTCTCTTCCAGGGGGTAATGTACTCACTGGGAATTCCTTTTGTGGATTTTAAGAAAATTCCATAGAAATACCGAATATCGGGTGGTACCCTAATATGGGTGCTATGCGATATCGTGGTCCTATATAGACAATTCTCTTCTAGGGGATAAAATATTCACAAGGAATTCTTGTATGAATTTTCAAACAATTCCGTTGAAAAAATGTGGCTAAAATAATCAAAATACCGAAAATCGGGGGGTAAAGTTATATGGGGACTATACGATATCGTGGTCCTACATAGATAATTCTCTTCTAGGGGATAAAATACTCACAAGAACTTCTTATTATTGCTTTTTCACTTGCTGCATACAAATTTTCCATTATGCTCAACTAGCCGACTAAAAGACTAAATTGGGTACCGTTTATGTGTACGGAGCGAGCTAAAATCTTGACATTTCGTAACATAATTCAATTTCGAAAGTAGTGTTAATTTTATGATAGGATTTTGAAATAATTATATGAAAAGTACTAAATTTGGTATTGAATTATCGGAAATCTGCTTGAAATCTGAGATTTGGCATGGTCACTGTTTGTGTATAGGTTTGAAATTTGGAGGTTCTTTTGGAAATACGTACTAAAAAGTAGGAAAATCAATAAATAGTTCTAAATTTGATATATAATGCCAAAAAAGGGCCAAAATTCTGAATATTGGTAAAGATACCATTTTGAGTATAGATATGAAGATGGATTTGAAAACCCAGACTATATAGTGTACGAACAGTACTAAATGACACTAAATTTGGTATATGGTGTAAACAAAGACCTTTACAATCTGATTGAGATTAAATTTAGCAAACAATATTTATTTGTCTATGGACGAACCCTATTCAAATTGGTGACAATTGGATCCGATTAAGATATAGCTCACATATATCCTTCGGTTTAATTGCGCATAAAATGGCCAATATAAGTCCAAATGACCTGAATTTTGGCACATACAACCGAATTCAATCTAGAATCAAGTGCATCAATTTTGAGAAAATAGCTTCAGTTATAGCTATAGCTCCCATATATAGGTTTAATCCGATTTGGCGTTTTAAGTCCCTCACATGCGTAATATGCACTCGACAAGAATGATTGACATCAGATACTGCTCGAAAAAAACTCAGTCAAATGTTATCGAAATCGGTTTAGATTAGGATATAGCTCCCATATATATCTTCAACCGATTTCGGGTTAATTGTGCACCAAATAGCCAGTAACAGTTCAAATGACCTAAATTTTGGCATATCCGACCGAATTCAGTCTAAAAGCAGGTAAATTAAAATTTGGTTCATCAAAATCGGTTTAGATATAGCTTTAGCTCCCATATATATAATTCATCTGATTTGGTGTTTAAGTCCATCACATTCGTAATATGCATTCCACAACAATTATATTTAGCACCAGATATCTTATAGACCTCGGATATACCTTTGCCAAATTTTATCTAGAACGGCTAAGATTTGGTTTCTTGTGCAAGTAATGGCTAATATCAGCCCAAATGTAGTGAATTTTGGGACGTACTTTTCTATTTGTGCAACTCGGCTCCGATATACATATTTTTATACCCTCCACCATACTATGGAACTTTGTCATTCCGTTTGTAACTCCTCAAAATACTCATGTCGGACCCAACAAATATATTCTTGATCAGCGTAAAATTCTTAGTCGATTTAGCGATGTCTGTCTGTTGTAATCACGCTATCTTTCGAACGAATTGAGATAGAAGGCACACGTGTTTATTTTTCCAGAGGCAGGTTAAGTTTGTAAATGGGCCATGTAGGTCCACGTTTTCATATAGCCCCCATATATAAGTACCTCCAGATATTCGGCATTTTGATGATTTTAGCGACTGTATTCACCGGAGTTGTTTCGAATTTGGTATTCGAAGTTCGAAATGTATACTACTGCCTATGACAGAAATTTGTCGTATAGCCCCCATATAACGGTACCTCCCTATATTCGGTAGGTACAATACCCACCGAATTTTTTTGAGATTTCGTATTTGACGTCCGTAATGGATGCTATTGCCTGTGACAGAAAATTTTCTATGCTGGTCCAGGTCTTCGCACAGCTCCGATATAACGGAACCTACCTTTATAGGATATTTGATGATTTTAGCTACATTATTCACCATTTATTTCAAGTTTCGAATTTCAATATGGTAATGGCTTATGACAAACAAGGCCTATGTAGGTCCATGTCGTATAGACCCCAATATAAAGGCTATATTCGGTATTTTTAAAATTTTAACAGAATTTTTTAAGGATTTTATTTTTTGAAAATTTCCAAATTCGTTTAAAATGGTGGAGGGTATTCAAAGTTCGGCCCGGCTGAACTTACTGCTTTTTAACTTGTTTTTTTTTTAATATAATCCTTCTTTGGTACATAAGATTAAAATATCTCCGTAAAATTTAGTGAAAATCGATTCAGAATTGGATGTGCCTCCCGCATATTTGGTCCCTCCAAAACCAAACTATAACTGCTCAAAGGCCAAATATTGATAGGTGGTATGATCTACTTCAAATAAATTCTTTTTTTACGAGAGGTCTACTAAATATGCATAGTGATGTAGGGTATCATATAGTCGGCTCCGCCCGACTTATGATACTTCCTTACTTTTAATTTTAATAGGTCTACTAGGGAGCTAAATTTACGTCTTTTAAAAGGTAGACTTTTAAGAGGTGTTGGATGGAAATAACACAAAAAGAGAAAAAAAAAAGAAAAATTCCGCACGGAACGAGATCGAGTTCCGAGATATAGATCTTAGAGGCCATTAACTTTGCTTTTATTATTCTAATCTTGAGACTATTCCGTTATATAAAATCTAACCTTGACTTTTGGTATACAAATTTGAAAGTTGGAATAATCGAATTTCTCCAAAATATTGATTAAAAAATTGAGAATATAACTGGATATAAATATGGACCGTATATGCGAATAAATCTACAACTCAGTAATTTGCCAGTCCCCCCACTGCTACATGAAAACCGACCGACCGAAAATTCGATAATATTTCGTCTTATTTTCTTGATTGACAGCTTAAAAAAATATGCCTCTCCTCAATATATGGAGTAATGCTAGCATTTTTAATTATCTTCAATTTCGAAACATATTTTTACCAAACATTAAAATCCTTGAAACTATTTTCAAATTTGGCTTAGAATATATTTTCCTCCTTTGAGTAAAGGGTCGTCGGATAGTCCAGGTTATTCTTAAAAACTACATAATTATTATATTCATTTTTTTTTTTTTGGATTCATCTTAAACTCTATCTCTATATACGTATGTATGTGTAAAAATAGTATACATGTATATGTAGTGGTAGTAATAATAATAAGTGTAAAAACGTCCACTTAAAATCTATTCGCAAAAAAGGCACTACTGCTGGCTAGCTGGCAGTTAAACTCTATTCCGTTCTTTGGATGATCATTTCAATTTTATCGCCGGCAGCAGCTATCAATGGCACGGTGAGACAACAATCAAAATCCTGGGTTTTCATTTCATTGACCTGCAAAGAAGCACCATTTTTTAATTTTCAATATTTGCAAAAGAACACAGAACTTATCCCACCTGCATAATTCTATCGAATGGCTTTAACATGCCACACTTGTCTGCTGGTCCACCCGATCGTATACGATTTATAAATACACCCCTCTCGTAGAGACCATCTGAGACCGAGAACCCATAGTCGTCGTATACTTTATCCTTGAAGAGGGTAACATGGAATATTCTTTGTTTTTCAGTTTTGCCACCACCACTGCTCGAACCGCTATTGGAACCATTGTCGGTATTTGTTGATGGACTTCTGGGTCTTCGCTGCACCTTGGCATAGATGGCTTGTGGCTGTGGCAAATTGTTCGTTTCCAACGTCGGGCCATAATTGTTTTGAACATCATGAGCCCGTAGAATTTTCAAATCTACAATATCACCGAGATTCTGCAATAGATTTGTGGCATGTGATAGTGGCATACCTTGCACCGATTCGGCGTTAATTGCAAGCAGTTGATCACCAACTAGGATTTGTCCATTTTTGTGTGCAATGCCACCTGGAATAAAAAGAGATTTTAAAATTGTAATTGGTTATTTAGAAGCAGAAGTACACAGATAAGATGTTCTGGAAGTTTTCCTCATAGAAGAGCACAACGTCTTCTCCTAGAAAAGTTTAAGGTCTTCTCATAGAAGAGCTGGAAGGTCCTCTCATAGAAGCGCTGGAAGGCCGTTTCACAGGACTTTTATGAGAAGTGATAGAAGGTCTTCTCCTAAAAGAGCTGGAAGGTCTTCTCATAGAAGAGCCGGATGTCTTCTCTGAGAAGAGCTTGAAAGAAGAAAGGAGTGCTGGAAGGTCTTCTCATAGAAGAGCTGGAAGTTCTTCTCCCAGAGGAGATGAAGGTCTTCTCCTAGAAGAGCCGAAGGTATTCTCCTAGACGAGCTGAAGGTCTTCTCCTAGACGAGCTGAAGGTCATCTCCTAGACGAGCTGAAGGTCTTCTCCTAGACGAGCTGAAGGTCTTCTCCTAGACGAGCTGAAGGTCTTCTCCTAGACGAGCTGAAAGTCTTCCCCTAGACAAGCTGAAGGTCTTCTCCTAGACAAGCTGAAGGTCTTCTCCTAGAAGAGCTGAAGGTCTTCTCCTAGGTGAGCTTATGGCCTTCTCCTAGGTGAGCTTATGGCCTTCTCCTAGACTAGCTGAAGGTCTTCTCCTAGACGAGCTGAAGGTCTTCTCCTAGACGAGCTGAAGGTCTTCTCCTAGACGAGCTGAAGGTCTTCTCCTAGACGAGCTGAAGGTCTTCTCCTAGACGAGCTGAAGGTCTTCTCCTAGAAGAGCCAAAGGTCTTCGAACAGAAGAGCCGAAAGGTCTTCTCGTAGAAGAGCTTGAAGGTCTTCTCAGAGAAGACCTTCCAGCTCTTGTTCTTGTCAGAGAGGGCTGAAAGGTATTCTCAGAGAGAGTTGAAACGTCTTCTCAGAGGAGAGCTGAAAGGTCTTCTCAGAGAAGACCTTCAAGCTCTTCTCAGAGGAGAGCTGAAAGGTCTTCTCAGAGGAGACCTGAATGGTCTTCTCCTAGAATAGCTTATGGTCTTCTCCTACGAGAACTTATGGTATTCTTCTAGAAGAACGAAAAGTATTCGTGCCACAAAAAGTCTTCTCAGAGAAGAGCAAAAAATATTTCCAGAGAAGACCAAAGTTCTCCCCACAGAAGAGCAAAAGGTCTTCCTAAGTGGATTTCTTTGGATAGAATAGCGGAACACATTTCTAGAGACCACCTGAAATATCTTACCTTCAACAATGCCGCTAATAGTTATGGGCTTCGAAATATCCTCACTGCCAGCCAAAGTTATGCCCAACAGACCACCCTTGGGTTCAAGGCGAACGGTGAAAATAATCTGATGTAAACTGGTGCCGCTGCTTTTACTGCTGGAACTAGCCGCTGAACCATAAACTTTATTCTCCATTGGTGGAGGCAGGTTAGTACAGTCCGCACTGCAATAAAAAATTCAATATTAATTTACATATTTCCCATTAAAATCCCCCCTCCCGCCCTCACTTACCTGGCATATCTATCCAAATCGTAACCAGCGAATTCATTGTAGGAATTTTCATCATCCGGCAACTCGGTGGTCAGACTTTGAGTATTTTGATTAAACGAACGACCCATGGTACCCCAATTGGGTGCCGTCAAATGATGGCGTATCTGTACCGATGTCATTGTGTTATCCTCTAGGGTGGGACCTCGAAAATATTCCGGTTGTGGTGTACTCGATTTCATTGAGAGGCAATCCGTTTGGTATTTCATTTCGGCATATTTATTCGCCACATAGGCACTGCTGTAGAGGTCATGATCCGTCGTGGGGCTACTGGGACAATTACTGTAAATGTGGGTGCTGGGCATTTTCTGTTGGGCATCGAAAAGGAAGTCGGGTAACATAACCCGCTTTACGGTCAGCGTGGAAAAATCACCATGGGAACCATCCTTCAGCAGAGAATCCACATTGAAATGTTGTACTGGATGATTGTCAACGGCCAGGAGTATATCACCGGATCTTAGGGAACCTGTGCGATGGGCAGGACTGCCAGGTTTCACATCGGATATGACAAAACCACCATGACTAGAACCATTGATGCTTAGACCCAGACCGGCCTTACCCAGGCGTAATACTTTGACATTGAATACCCCACTTGAGGGCACTACTGTATCCGGCATATCAAATTCAATTTCCAGCTCCAGCCAATTGGCTGGACTGTGTGGTGGCCTGGAACCCAAGTCACCCAATAGCTGGCGCATTGTCTGGACATCCAGGTTGTACATTTTGTTTATGGCCACAATGCGATCTCCCTTCTGGATGCAGCCACAACGATCGGCCACGGAGTCGGGTATGATTTTCGAAATGTTTACCGCCCGGCCACAGGCGGTTTGTGTGCCCAAAACGAGGCCGGAACCCATGCTGCAGTCCAACAGAACCGGAAATGTTTCCGCCCTACAGATGCCCATGCTGGACGAATGATGTAGACCGGAAGTTGTGCTGCTGTTGCTGGTTGTGGCACTGGCCCCCAAACTGCTGCCGCTGACACTGCTGCTACTGGGACCGCTGACACTGCTGCCGGCCGCACTTGCTGCACTGTTTGAGTTTGTCCCACCACCACCTCCTCCTCCGCAGCCGCCAACGCCTCCACCCGTTGTTGTTGTTGTTGTTTCCAATGGCAAAGAACTTTTACGCGTAAAACGTTGACGCTGACGAGATTTCCGTGATTCTAAAGTGTTGAAACCATATTTTGGACTGTTCAAGGCGGCATGACCTGCAAACCGAACAAGCAAACAAAAAGAAGAAGAAGAAGCATAAGAAAATGTAACACAGCCAAAAAAGAAAGAAAAACATTAATGAGCAGCAGCAAAAGGGAACAACAAAAAGATATTTTCCAACTGCTGCGCCTACATAGATTTCCTCCACTTCGACATCAATTAGATTTTTAAAAGTATTTTTAGTTTTTCCTTTCCGTGCGGCTGTCCGTCCCCCGGTCTGTCTGTCTGTTTGTCTGTCATTTGGTGTGTAAATCTGTCCATTTACATATATATGTTTGCTAGAGTGTGCGTGTGTTGGAATTCCCCCCTTCAGCATGTCAATGTCTTGACTAAAGCTTCCGAATCTCTTCACAAGATTTTCCTCTGTTGACGTTGAAATTTATGTGTTTTCCAAAAAGGGCTTTTCACCATAGGCGAGAAGGAACATGCTGCCAATGCACAGTGGTTTGACGGGAATTTTTTTGATGATCAACAAAGGTGATATTTTTTTGTTTTTGCGATAAGTATAGAAATGATAAAAGGAGGAATACAGGGTGAGATTAAAAAAACTGCAAAAAATTCAAATGCCATATTTTTTTTTTAATTTTTTGTTGAAACTAAAAAATGACGGAAATAGCATCAAATTTTAGAATAAGTTTAGATTTTTTCGAATTGGTCACCTTTGGCACGAATTATGGCCTTCAAACGGCCAATGAAACCGTCACACGCTGCCCGAATGTTGCTCTGCGGTATTTTGGCCCATTCCCGGGGAAGCGCTGGCTTGAGGTGATCGACACTTTGGTATTTTTTAGTGCCAACCTCGCTTTCAAAATATTCCAGACACAATAGTCCAACGGATTGGTATCCGGAGATTTTGGTGGCCATTGTGCGCTGGAAATGAAGTAAGGCACCTCATTTTGTAACCATTCTTGGGTGGCGCGTGCTGAGTCCTGTTAGAATATACAAGGTCTGCGGCCAAAATGTTTGCGTGCCCAATGTTTTAATACACCCTCCAGAATATTTTCGCGATAACATTCGGCATATATTCTGATGCCACGGGCGATTAATACTAGCGGAGAGCGACAATCGGTTGTTATGGTGGCCCACACCATCACCATGGCCGGCACTTGAGTTCTGGTGGCCAACCGAAGGTGCACATTTTCAGCTGACCTCTTTGGCAAGTAAACACGAAAGTTATTCGTGATGGAATTCAAGCGTGATAGTGTGATTTCTTTGGTTGATTTGGCTGCAAAGCCACAAGTGGCTATCGTTAGAGTACTCCAGCATTTAAATGTGAATAAATATTTTGTGTCTCGTACCGTGATACTGGTAGCGTAGCCCGACGTCAAGGGACGGAAGAAACCAGCAACATCAGCAGAAATGGTTTGGAAAGTAAAGAAGCGACTTTATCGAAACCCTTGTCGCAGTGGCCGAAAAGTGGCTCGTGAGCTGAATAAATCGCAATATTCCTTCGGCAAATATTGAAAAATGAGCTTCGGGTAAAGCCATTGAAATTCCAAAAAGTGCAGCAACTTACACCGCAACAGAACAAAAAAATAGATCAAAATAAGCTAAAGAGTTGCTTCGCTTGGCCGAAAGCTGTGAACTGCCGAATTTGGTTTTCTCCGATGAGAAAACATTCGTTGTCCAGAAGTTTGTGAACAAACAAAATGATCGTGTTTACTTTCCAAGGAGGTCAGCTGAAAATGTACACCTTCGGTTGGCCACCAGAACTCAAACGCCGGCCATGGTGATGGTGTGGGCCGCCATAACAGCCGTTGGTGGCATCAGAATAAATGCCGAATATTACCGCGAAAATATTCTGGAGGGTGTTTTAAAGACTTGGGCACGCAAACGTGTACGTGTATTTGCAATCTGCTAGATTTTTCCTATAGTTATTTTTATACGCTACACCACAAGGTGGTCAGGGTATTATGTCCTTGTGCATTTGTTTGTAACAGGCAAAAGGAAACAAGATAGACCCATAGTTCCTTTTGATGATCTGCATAGAATCACATTCTGAGTCGATTTATGCATGTCCGTCCGTCCGTCTGTCCGTCCGTCTGTCCATGTATTTTTGTAAACAAAGTACAGATCGCATTTATTGCCCTATCCAAATGAAATTTGGCACAAATCATTTGTTTGGCCCAAGGACGAACCCTATTGAAATTGGAGATAATCGGTCAAAATTTGGATATAGCTCCCATATATATATTCGTCCGATTTGCCTTTTATTGTGCACCAAACGTGTAATATCAGCCCGAATAGTGTGGAATTTTGCACATACAACTAAATTAGGCCTGAAAATAAGTATGCCAAATTTGATCGAAATCGATTCAGATATAGCTACAGCTCCAACATATATTTTTCATCCGATTTGTTATTTTTGTCGTCCGCAGCCGTAATATGCACTCTGTAACAATAATATTTGGGGAAATATATCAAATACAGCTCAGAAGTACCTTTGCTAAATTTTATCGAGATTGGTTCGGATTTGATTATATATCCCATATATAACTTCGTTCGATTTAGCTTTTATTGTGCACTAAACGTCTAATATTAGCCCAAATGGGATGGAATTTGGCACTTACGACCGAAATGAGTCTAGAAGCTAGTATGTCAAATTTGCTGAAGATCGGTTCAGATATAGCTATAGCTCCCATATATACTGTTCATCCGATTTGTTATATTTGTTACCCACAGCCGTAATATGCACTCCGTAAGAACTATATGCAGGGAAATATATCAAATATAGCTCAAAAATATCTTTGCCAAATTTTATCAAGATCGGTTCAGATATGGATATAGCACCCATATACATCATTATGCGATTTCAAATTAATTGTGCACCAAATGGGCAATACAACTCCGAATTTAAAAGATTGAAATACATCGGCATATTTAGTCTTTTGATCTTTAAATTATAATTATAATCATAGCCTGTATGATTGAATTCTGCCAAAAAAAAAACTTTTAGTTGTTATGTGGAGCTCTACAAAATTAGAAAAGTGGTGTAGGGTATCATAAAGTCGGCCCCGCCCGACTTTAAGACTCTCTTTACTGGTTTTGTGTTGTTGTTGTAATTTTTTTTTTAATATTTTTGACCTTTTGTATCAGAGTTTGGAATCCTTCTTCTCTTGCTACCTATCCTACTTCTGACACCACTGTGCTACACCAAATTCATTTTGACAAAAAATTTCCCAAAAAAACTGAAAGCTGTTTACATTTGCCAGTCGCTCGGTCGTTTCGGTTAATTCCGCGTTCGATCATCTTTTAAAATAAATCTCAATATTGAAATAAATGTCAGCCAATAAATACTGTCAGAGTTCCAAAAATATCAATGCTTTCAATATGGAGCGAATAGCAACAACAACAAACACAATCTTCATTCCGCTGTGAATTGTGGGGGAGGGAAGAAACAGATTTTGATATTTCCCTTCCCCAAAATGGGGGGAGTGTGTGACTCTGATCATCGTGTCACTTTGGAGAGCAATTTTAAGTTTTCGATTTTTTTTTGAAAATTTTCTTTGGCCCTGAGTGTTGTCACAACGTTTTGTTCATTGATTTCGTTTGATTTGATGAGATTTCCGTGACATTTGTATTTGTCAGCATTGATTGCGTTTTTGTATTACCACAAAATGTAAAGAAGGACAGACGGACAGGGCGGGTGATTGTTTTCCTTTTATGGCCATAATTGTCAAAAGTTCCAACATCCGCTTTTGTCAATTTTTGTTGCCCGTGATGTTCTTTTGGGTGATGTCACTTCATTAGAAACGAAGTGATAAAATGTCATTTCGATTTAATTAGTTTGTCATCGCCAAAGGAAACCTCACGTCAATATTCGTCAATGAGTTGTTGTTGTCGTTGGATACGCCAGGCTTAAGAGGGTTGATTGTTTGGGATCATCATATCATAGAGGCCTTTTAAAAGGCCTCTTAAATACTTTAACAGATTGTAGACTACCTAAGCTGACACTTGAGAATAGAAGACCCCTGAAAGCTCCTCCATGGGTCTTCTGTAAAGAGAAGATGATCTTTTCAAGCTCATCCATAGAAAAAACTCGTTAGAAAGTCTGTAGAGGTTATACGCTGTTTATGTGAGAAACGCTACTGTAGCATCACTGTAGCTTTTACTGAACATACCCCACATTGGTCCGTGTTATTCTTCGCCCTCTGTTTTTCTCTTTCTACCTTGTTATGCTAATTGTAGAAAACCCGATATTGGCTAGCAATACCGTTGACATTAGCATTAATATGAACAGAGCAAGAATATCAACAGCTCCATAACCGAAAGAGAGAGAGAGAGTCGTGAACTTTGAACGAAATATAATATGAGAATGCAAACCAGTATCGTAATTAGGAGAAGCAGAAATAAGGCTCTGTTTGCTTGTAAGAACTTAATTGAAAATTTGTCTGTCTATTTTTGCTACCGAAAGGAGAAGTTCATTGTAACTTCGATAAATAAGTTATAAGTTTTCAGCAGATCTTGTGTTGATGGAAATATTGAAATGTGCCAAGTCTAAATGTAATCGGATGTTAATTTCGCATTTAAGGAGTGGAGGTACCAGAAGGAGTCGACCAATATATTCAATCTTCACAGCAGCTCTTGCATTAGTAGAAGTAATGGCATGTGTGAAATATGAAGTGATCTGGTTCACTTCTTATTTCGGATTTTATAATAGTTTTGGTTATTCAAAACTTTGACCCTTTGCGGGGGAGGTACAAGAAGGAATGGTCCGATATCTACCATCTTTACAAAAGATCTTGTGTTGATGGAAATATTGAGATTACCAAGTCTAAATGGAATCGGCTGTTCGGCCGGGCCGAACTTTGAATACCCTCCACCATTTGGAACGAATTAGAAAATTTTCAAAAAATAAAATCCATTAAAAATTCTGTTAAAATCTTTAAAATATCTAATACCGGAATGTGCTTTATCAGGGGGGATATACGATATTGTGGACCTATATAGACAATTACTTTTCAGGGGTTAAAGTGCTCACAAAGAACTCCTTGTG